GAAGTGGAAGAATTCTCAATGGAGAAGTGAAAGAATTTGGAGATGAATTGGATGTGGAAGATAAAGAAGAAAAAAGTATCATGAACTGCTCCTAAGGCTCAGGTTTGATCAAAGGGGTAGTGGATAGAAGGAGCCATTTAACCAAGAGGAGTCAGTAAATCGCTCTCCAGGAGAAGATCCTGGGTCTTTATATCTCTAAAAACCCCCTAAGGGGTTCTTATGACTAATCTTGGCTAAAATAAGATAAGCTAGAGAGTAGTATAATAATACTTAAATTTATTTAGCCTTAAACAACTCTTGTTGCGTACTGGCTATATCACTGGGTAAATGAGTTTCCTCATCTGTAAAATAGCAATAACAATGTGTTAATCTTAGGAAACATTTAGAGCACTTCCAAGCTACTATTTTTAAATCAGCTGAATAAACTAGGTGTCTTCGCATCTCTAAGCTTTAGCTCTTGCCTTTGCTTGATGTGCTTATTTCATCATCTTACATGTAGTGACTTCCTATTTTCTCTTAAAAAATGTTTTCTCTGACTACTCTGCCAACCACTACTGCCTCCAGTCAATCATTTGGGCCATTCTTCTACTCATATCTATTTCTTCATGGATATTTCCAATATAGAATGTAACACATTGTGTTAATGGATTGTCTCTTGGAAAAGGCTTAGAACATCTAAGGTAGTTGGCCCTGTCTCTCCTCTCCTCTCCTCTCTTGTCTTCTCTCTCTCTCATACAGGGAACTGAACCCAGCAATGCTCAACCTCTGAAGTATATCCTCAGAACATTTTATTTTTTTTTATTTTTACAGAGTATCACTAATTGCCCAGGCTTGCCTCAAACTTGCAATTTTCTGCCTCAGCCTCCTGAGTAGCTGGAATTATAGGCATGACTGCCTTTGTTTTTTAAGTCTATATCCATAGAGCCCAGTCTGATATCATAATGCAAGATCAGAATATATTTGTTGTACTTAACTGAACTTCAATTAAAAGCAGAATGTGGATGCAGATCTAGCAAGCTATACCCAAAGGATATAAAAAATACCTTAAATGGCTATTTAGGCCCAAACTTAAGCCTAAGCCAGTCATGCCAAATATAACACCTTTCTTATCTGCCTCTCACCTCTTCTTTGTTCTTCCTGAGCAATGAGGGGCCCATGCCTTTCTGGAGAACAGAGGAAGGGGGAAGGTAGTTCGGGAGGAAGAGACACTCCTACAGCTTTACACAACCTTCATTTACCCCTCAGTGGGGTAAGGAAGTTGGAGAGAGGGGCTGAATGTACCATATGAACAAACATGCCTAAGCTGGGTAGAGTCCTTCCCAACCACGTGGCCTTGATAGCAGGTCCAAACACCAGCAGGCAAACAGAAGATAGTGAACCTGCCCAATACAGCTTTTGTAATATGACCCATGGTTTCTAGCATGTCCTTGTATGGAAGCAGAATTCAACCTCTCATGTTAATGTTTCTGAGTCGTCACCCTCCTGGTTACACACTGGTTATGAACTTTAAAGGAAAATAACTTGGATCCCTGGAGGAGAACTTTAAAAGGACTTTTTATTATATTCTTTAATCTCAAGGGAAATGGGCCTATCCGGAAGCAATTTTATATGCAACAAGCCAACAGTCTTTGAAGCCAAACAAACAAATTCTGATTCACTCACGTTTTAGTCCTGTGTTCATTAAAGCTAAACATAATGATGATGGTAATAATAGCAGCTAACACTTATAGGTGCTGACTACATGACAGGCCCTGGTGTAAGTGCTTTAGATATTCTTTTTTTTTATTCTTTTCTTGTATCTGTGGTGCTAGGATCAAACTTAGAACCTTGCACAGACAAGGCAAGCACTCTTCCACTGAGCCAGTTCCCCAGCCTTTAACTTATTTAATTATTAAGAAAACAGAAACCCATAATGAAGACACTACCATCATAATTTATAATGAAAGCATCTGATACACAGAAATTTTTGGTAACTGGTACAAGCTAGAAAACAAGAGTTAGACAGGTGCACTCCAGACATCCATGCTGTCCTTCCCTGCCTCCCAGGTGTTCCAGAAGTACACAGTCTGACTTTCAGAATCTGGGATTCCTGGATTCTGTGAGGCCACCCCCAGTGAGGCTGAGACTCAAGGAAATAATATAAGTAGAACCCTAGATAGTAGAGGGGCATCCAGGCTGGAGAGGATGTCTCTAATTTTCAACATGTACTCTCATAATGTACTACTACTACTAGATTTGTAAAGTAACCCACTTGAATCTAATGTATGAAATATGATATGTCAAGAGCTTTGTAATGTTTTGAACAACCAATTAAAATAAAGAAACACACACACACACACAAAGAAATTCTAATTAAGTCCTGACATATCTAGAGTTCCACAAACAGCAAATGTATGGATGTATGGATGTACTTACTGAATAAATGAGGGGCTTTAAAGCTTACTTTTTAGAACCTTTTACTGATCTAAAAGTGTGAATATTTCAATGCTTCTAAACAGCAATGGCCTTTGATAACAGAAGACTAGCAACAAGCAGCTGAGGAGGGGGCAAGTCAAAAACTAAAGTTTTTTATTGGGGAGGACATGATCTGACTTGATCTTTAGCAAGATAATTGGTGCTATTTCCATTGTATATTAAAGTGGAGAGTTCAGGTAACAGAAAGATCAATCTCAACAGAAAGAGTACAGGGACCATTTATTTTTCTTGTATATCAATATGTTAAACTAAACCAAAGCACATCAACATGTTAAAATCTTGAGAATAAAGAGCCAAAAGTTATTTGTTACTGGACTAGAAGTGTAAATAAATCTCTAGAACCTTTTAGGAAGGGAAAACTGAAAATTTGGAGTTGCTGCTAAAGCTGTCACATAAAATTTCAGACATGCAAAGAAATGGAATTATAGAATCACATATGTATCTACCAGAGAACGGAATCTGGGCAGAGTGTGTGAAGGAAGCAGAGTGTTTACAGCTTAAGAAGTGTGTCCTCTTCACCAAGAAGACCTGCTGCTGTTTTCTTTGAATCAACTCTCGAATTCCCTTAAAGAGAAGTCAGTAGTGTTATGGGAAGCTCACCTATTGAAGTGACAGCAAAAACAGCAACCCAAGATGAGTAAACTGGTATTATGTCAAGTGACAGTAACTGCACTTTTGGACCACACCCTGAAAAAGTGAGGCAAGAGAATATTTCAAAAGAATCAAGTTTGAATAATAGAAAACACCATTCACTTCCCATCATGCACATTCAAGCATGGGGAGTGGGAGGCTGGGGAATTAAAGCGATTGTCAATACTAGAGATGTGTTCTCCCAACAAATGCCATTTCTTTCTTTATATATATATATTTTAGTTGTAGATGGACACAATACCTTTATTTTTTTATTTTTATGTGGTGCTGAGGATCAAACCCAGTGCCTCAAATGTGTGAGACAAGCACTTCACCACTGAGCTACAACCCAGCCCCAACAAATGCCATTGCTTCAGTCTCTTTAAAGACTATTCTTCTACATGACCCTTCCCCTTATTGATCATCTGTTCTCATATTCACCAGCCTCAGATTTAATGAGAGTGGATAGTCCAAGTATATATTCTTCTTAAAAAAGGCCTTTTGATTACTCCAGGAATATTTTATATACACATGGTTTGTTTCCCCAATTTAACTCTGAGCATTTTAAAAATGAAAACATTTGAATATATTTCTGAAATTTTTCCAAAATATCTTATGTAACATATAAAAATCAACAGCCACAATAATAATAAGTTTTTTTAATGCTAACAATATGGTCAGTACTGTTTTAAGAGCCATCCCTGTATTTGCTGATTTAATCATTGCTATTACTATATAAGGTAGATACTGTTGTTTGGCTCATTTATACTTAAGGAAACTGAGGCAGAGGTAGACTAAGTATCTTTACCACAGTCACAATCTCTGTAAGTATATAATCTCAGTCTCTCCGAGATTATATACTCTCTCCAATGGTCCCTTTAACATATTTTTAAATTGAATTCAAATTCCAAAATGAAAAGAGTTTTGAAAGTCAGACATCCCAGCTAGAAGTTTCCCACAAGATTTGGGGTCAACGAATGTTATGGCCTTAAAAAATAATAAGAAAAAATTTCCCCAATGTCTCTTCATAATTTTTGTGGTTCTTAATAGTACAAGGACATATCTAACATCTATACCAAGGATAGCATGACTGTTGGATCCTTGTGTGGAAGCCTTCTTTTATTTTTTAACCTTTCTAAAAAATTGTTCTTTTTAGATATACAAGACTGTAGAGTATATTTTGACATATATACATATATGGAGTATAACTTATTCTAATTAGGATCTCACTCTTGCAGTTGTACATGATGTGGAGTTTCACTGGTGGTATATTCATATATGAATATAGGAAAGTTAGATTCATTCCACTGGCTTTCCTATTCCCATCTTCCCTTCATTTTCCTTTGTCTAATTCAATGAACATCTATTCTTCTCCCCCAATTATTAGGTGTTACCATTCCCATATCAGAGAGAACATTCAGTCTTTGGGTTTTTTGAGATTGGTTTATTTCACTTAGCATGATGGTCTTCAGTTCCATCCATTTACTGGCCAATGCCATAATTTCACTCTTCTTTATGGCTGAGTAATATCCCATTGTGTACATATACCACATTTTCTTCATTCATTCATCTGTTGAAGGGTGCCTAGGTTGGTTCCATAACTTAACTATTGTGAATTGAGCTGTTATAAATATTGGTGTGGCTGTGTCACTGTAGCATGCAGATTTTTAAGTCTTTGGGGCCTATACCAAGGAGTGGGATAACTGGATCCAATGTTGGTTCCAAGTTTTCTGAGGACTTTCCATACTGCTTTCCATAATGGTTGCACTAATGTGCAGCTGTCATTGAAATGTGAAGATAAGTGTGAGTAGATATAGTGGTGGCAAATAAAAGAAACATCCCAAACAAAACATCACTTCCTTATTGAAATAGTGAACACTTCTCTTTCTACTTAGCTACTGGCTGTGGTTGATGTATGACAAGAGGGAAGAGAAGAGAAACATCAGTGACCCCAGTGGAGTTAAGAGCATGGAACAGGACATCATCAGGTCTGGCACCATTCTTTGATATCAAGTCCCCTATCAACTACCACAGTAAGTACCTGACTTCTATTTTGTTGTGTAAGCCAGCCTGTTAGACCCCACTGGTAAGTGGAGCTGAGCTATAAATGCCACAGCCACTGTCTCAGTTTCCCCCTGGCTTTTTAGCTTTGTGTTCATGTGTTCTACTCTTTGTGTTCAATTTCAGTTTCTCCAATGAGAAAATCCACAACCACTCTGCTTTGCCTTCTTCTCTCTGGATCTCAGAGTTCCAGAACCCAGGGTTCTAGGTCTATCCCTATGACCACTTGATCCATGTAGCCAGCTACTCATATTCCCATGGAAGGACAGATCTTGATCAACCTACACTCTCACTCATTCTTACCTTTACCACACCAATAACGTGTCACACACAAGCTTGTTCTGGCCATAGTTAGTGTTAGGAAGATTTTTATACATCCTAGGTCCTACTTGATGGGCATATAATAATGACATGGGAAACATGCTATCAGAGCATTGTTCAACAATTTTCAAAGATGGCTACAAGAATTCTTTTAATGCTAGCGCAAATGCCTCTTTGCAATGACTTTGCCACTCCTCCAATTAAGACCAGTTTATTATTGCTGCCCTGAGAACACTGCTCCAGGAGGATGACAGACACTCCCACCCAACAGGGAGACCCAACCTCCGGACACATGAGTGAGACCATCCAGCCTCAACAGAGCAGTCAGGTGACTTCGGCCAGATGAGTGACCCCAGCAAGGCCAGCAGAAGAGTTCCCATCTGAGCTCAGCCCAAATTGCTGAGAAATAGGAATGAATAAGCAGATAAAATTTTGATTTTTTTTTAAAGAGAGAGTGAGAGAGAGAGGGGGAGAGAGAGAGAATTTTTTTTTTAACATTTATTCTTTAGTTTTCGGCAGACACGACATCTTTGTATGTGGTGCTGAGGATGGAACCCCGGGCTGCACGCACGCCAGGCGAGCGCGCTACCGCTTGAGCCACATCCCCAGCCCAAAATTTTGATTTTTTAAAGCAGGTTATAACAAACTCTTTTATGAAGAAATAGCTGACTGATTAAAATTCAAATGCTAATTGCAATATATGTTAGTGTTCTGTCATGGAAAATACCTGAGATAATCAACTTAAAAAGAGAAAGGTTTATTCTGGATCATACTTTTGGAAGTTTTCTTCTATAATTTGTTGGTCCTGTTGCTTTGGCCCTATGAAAAGGCATTATACCATGGTGAGAGCAAGTGGAAGAGCAAAGCCAGTCACCTCTTGCTGGGAAGTAGAAGAGAGAAAGGAAGGAGAATGGTCCCACTATCCCCTCCAAGGGCATTCTTGCAATAACCTAAAGAACTACCACTGGGCCCTACTTCTTACAGGCTTTACAATCTCACAATAGTGAGATTCAAACTACAGCAAGATAAGAAAATCAATAGCTTTTATATTACCATTATACAAACCTATCATTTCCTCATTTCCTTCCTTCCTTCCTTCCTTCCTTCCTTCCTTCCTTCCTTCCTTCCTTCCTTCCTTTCTTTTCTTTCTTTCTACTAGGATTTTGAGACAGGGCCTCACTAAATTGCTGACACTGGCCTCAAACTTGTAATCTTCCTGTCTCAGCCTCCCAAGTGCTGGCATTGTAGGTGTGAGCCACTGTGCTCCACCTATCATTTTCTGGCTAGTCATAATTTGAGCTTTATATGTCTAATTCCCCTCTAATACTACCACTACTACTTCAACTACTGCTGCTACTACAGTACACACACACACACATACACACACATACACACTTCAATATCCCACCTACTTGCTCCTATGTTCTTTGGGACTTTTCTTTTCTAAATGTCTATATTGATCTATTTTCAGCTTAGCCATTTAACTATCTCCATTCCTACATATCCAGCTTCTCCAGTCTATAAGGAGTAGCAATTACTTACTGTGGATAAGGCTCTGTTCCTTATTATCACCTTTTCAGGCAGATCATCATTATTGTGCACATGTTATGGTCAACATGCCTGAGGTAGAGTAGACTAAGTCTGCTCCAAGTCATGGAACTAATAATAATTGATGAAGATAGAATCTGAATTCAGATAGAGAGGTTTAAACTTCACCCTTAAGCATAGTACTATACTGTACTATACTCTCTAGGTGACCTCCAGGCACTGCAACATTTACATGTTCAAACCAAGACTTATCTGTTTTCCTTCACCAATCTCATATCCATCATATTCCTTACTTTGATAGATAATGACCACTTACTTATATGACCAAACCAGAAACCTCTCTCTCCCTTATTCCTCCACAACTGATGTGTGACCACATCCTGTGAAAACTATGCTTCTCTCTACCTCATTCTCATTGCCCTACCATAGGACACCATTCTATTTGTCTTAAAGAAGTATAAACAGGCTTGTTGCTGATATTCTTACCTATGATTGGATGGGCCAGCCACTTTTTTACTATCCTTTCTTTCTTCCCCAACCAAACACACATCATCACTAACAAGGATATATATGTATTAGCTTACCTTTAGAGACACAAGACAACTAGTGACAGCAGTGTGATGGTGGTAGTGTGTGATTGTGAGTGCCCATGCATGTAAGTGGGTGTCTAAATTTTGCTTGAGGTAAGGGGGTCTATTCATTCTAATTTGCTCCAGACTTTTCCTTGTTCAGAACTAAAAGTCCTACATACCAGGAAGCCCCTCATTCCTTCACAAATCAGGATGACTGGTCACTCTTATTAAGAGAAATGTTGAATAAATATGATTGAATGTATACTAAATGGTTCAGTGTATAAGAGAGTCTGTGCTGAAGTTCTTGCTCCACTAAAGCTAATTGGAATTATGGCTTTTCTCTTTCTTTGGCTGGTAATTCACTACCCCAGAAAGAGAGGTGGTCATCCCACCAATTTCATATACCTTTCATGAAAGTCAAACTGCCAGCAGGTTTTGAAACAAATGACTTCCTTTTTAGTATTTTCTTCACTTGGTCGCCAGCCATCACACTCCCCTGATTTTCCTCTAACAATAATTTCTCAATATCTTTTGATGAGTCATCTACCTCTCTTAATGTCATAATGCTCCAAGTTTCTATGTTGGGCCCTGTAATTTTTTTATTACTAGACACTGAACAGAAGACCACATCTAATCAATCTTTGCATTCAGAACTAACTACAATATAGAGAATAGGACTCAAGGAGAGTAGATCAAATATTATTCTTTTACTTATTTTAAAAATATTTATATTGGAGAATATGTTGATGTCACTGACTAACCCATTCAAAAACACATGGACATTTGGACAACCACAGGTCTCTTCCAATGCAAATAAGACGATGAAAACCTCACAGCAGGGAGAAATAGAACATATATGTTTCATTTTATATATTTTTTTCTCTGAAGATGTACATCCTAAAAATATACAAGAAAATTGAAAATTGAAGAACCATAAATATTGAGTTCTTTCTCCCAGAGTGACCAAGCAGTCATATCAGTTTTCCTCCCTGGAGAAAGGTAACAAAGGAAAGAGTGAGAATTCAGGACTATAACATTGATGGAGCTTCCTCAGAGGAAGACTGGAGATTGGGCATGTTCCCCTATAGCAAATATCATTTTTATGCTGATGACTTTCCATTGGAATTTCCAGTCTATCCCTGAGCTTGAGAATTATGTATCCACCTGCTTACTGAGAATCCTTGCTTAAAAGACTAATTAATGGGTCTTTCAAACTTAACATGTTAAAGAAAGAGCTCTTTATTTTTTCTTTACCCTCTCACTCCTATATTGCTTTGCCAGGGCTGCCACACACTGTTGGAACACTTAAATTACAGAAATTTTCTCCTTCACAGTTTTGGAAACTGAAAGCCCAAGATCAAGGTAACAGCAGGGTTGATTTCTCCTGAGATCTCTCTTCTGAGATGGCCATCTTCTTGCTTCATCCTCACATTGTTTGTTCTCCATGGGTATACATTCTTCATGTGTATCTTCTTATATCGGTCATGTTGGACTAGAACCCTGCCCTGTGATTAATTTAATTTAATTGTCTCCTCAAAGGCCATGTCTCTATATATGGTCATATTGTGGACTAGAGATTCAACACAGGAATGGGGGATGGGATGCAGTTCCTTACAATTCCTCCTACTATCTTCCTTATTTTAGAAAATGGTAAAACCATTGATCAGTTGTTTAGAACTAACCCTTAGGAATCATCTAAGATTCCCTTTCCCTTATGCCTCACATCTGGCCCATTAGCAACTTACATCAGCTCTGCCAATTCCATATCTTACCATCTCCACTGTGGACTCCAGATTCTACAATTCTCCTCTGCATATTCTATAGCTATATCTCCTTACTGGATTTACTGTCTCCTTTCTTGCTTTGCCACAGTCTATTTTCCATGCATCCATTTAAGTCACCCTAAAAAGGAAGTCAGATCTCATTGCTTTACTGATGAATGCTGCAAGAGCCTCTCACCTTTACACTAAGAATAAAACTCAACTACAGTTTATGACCCACCGTCATCTATCCTTGCCCACTTTTCAATCCTTATTGCATATTACTTTCCACTATCACTCACTTAATCCCAGTCACTTTGGACTCCTTGTTTTTCTTAAAGGACACAAAACTAATTTCTGTGTCACAGACATTGCATGTGTTGGTCCTTGTCCTTTTGCCTAGAATTCTCCTAAATCATCTTCCTCTTTTTTTTTATTTCACTGATGTCTCTGCTCAAATGAAACTTTCTTCATAAGGCCTTCTCTACTTACCTATTAAAAATACACCCAACCTCCATGACTCAATTCCTTTACCCTCCTTATGTCTGTAATTATATCATATTTTATTTGATTATTTATTTATTGTTAGTTTTCTCCACTAGGCTGTGAGCTTCATGAAGAATTTTTTGTTCTCTGCTGTACCCCCAGCACTGAGCATGATCCTTGATACAATGTAGAGACTCAACAAATATTATCTGAATGAAAATAACTCATGTTATCTACATCATTCTAATTTGCAAATTTGAAATGCCTTTTCCTTTTTTAAGTTTT